ACTTCCCATGGCTTTTAAGTTCCGACATTAATTGACATCAACTGATCTCTGAAACCTCATTGTTTTTTTTTTTGGCCTTTTCCCTATCACTGCCTACCCCCTAGCCACATTGGCCTTCTTTTAGTTCCTAGCGCAAGAAGATCTCTTTCCCTGGAGTTCTCACCTGTGCTTTCTGCTCTACTTGGCAAGTTCTCTGGGGGTACTCAGCTCCTTTTTATCTTTGGAACTCAACTATTTGGAGCAGCCTTCCCTAACTGCTGCGTAAAGCCCAATTCTTGCTCTCATTCTCTATCATAGCAACCTGTTTATCACCTTTATTGTAATTATTGTGATCTGTAATCATTTAATTATTTAGGTACACTTGTTTGACTTTCCCACTAAATTGCGAGTTCCACGACAGCAGGACTGTGTGCCTGATTCACTGTGGTGTCACTAATGCCTGTTAAAATGGCATAGAGTGGTCGTCAGCCCATGTTTGCCAAATAAATGAAAATGTGCACCTGTATCAGTTGTCTTCGACACTGGCTTCAAATTAGGATCACCTGAGAGAGCTAAAATAAAAATACCAGTGCCAAACCCCACCCCAGAGACTCCAATTTAATTAGTGTGATGTCAGATCTGGCATCATTAGTTTAGAAAGTTCTTCAGGTGATTCTAATGTACAGTCTGGGAAGAAAATCACTGCCCAAAATGAACCATGGAAGACAAGGTATTACTAAAACCCTACCTTGGGGAAAAGACTTCTCAGAATGAGTTTATAAATGACAAGATGAGAAAGAGCAATTTAGCTGACCTGCATGGGTGCCATGCAACAGTGGTCATGGTCAGAAATGTTGCCTGAAGAAGGCTGAGGGATACGGGTGGAAGGAACATCTGATCTGGGAGGGCAACAGGATCCTAGGCCATAAAGACGGCAGGCTGTGGTGACTGAAGCCATTTCTGGCCAGAGCCAACAAATTGTTCTCTTTTCTACCTCCAGCCCTGGCATGCACCACGTCTGGAGACATAAAAAGATGCCCACAGTATTGAGAAGATACAGGAAAATGGTCAGGGCCCCTCAGATGTTCAGAATCTTGCTGAGCATTTGATGTAAATATGCACGTGTGCCCAGGAGTTTCTTGGCTATTGTCTAATGTAATTGCTCGTGTGCACCCAGGTGTCCTGGATTATGACTTAAGTATAAAGGACTAACAGGTCTGATCCACAGTGCTTCTCAGGACACCCTGCGAGGTTACTAGGGCGACTGCTTCTATGTCTGAATAAAGCCTATCAATTTTTTACCCACGGCTCTCAGGACCTTTTCCTATGGCCTAACTCGTAGACCTGCGTGTGAAGGGTGTGTGACCCAGTCTGTGAGCCCTAGCCCTGTGGGTAGTTACGTAGCTTTACACACAGCATTGTTACTGTGGGTGGTGTGGAGGGTTTCAGATAGATCATCGGGAAGACCTCTTTTCCCTTCCTTTTCCCCCTTCTTCATGCCTCAGGATGCCAAGGCTTGGCTCCCATCCTGCAAGGAAGTAGACAGCTGAACAAATGGTCCTGGAAAGGCTTCAGCACAAGGAAAGAGAGAAGCTTGGGGAACCCAGAGGTGAGTGGGAAGGAGAAAAAGAGAAAGGCGGCCTAACGAGGAAGGTTCTCTGAGTGTGAGCGAGGCCACCTAGGCAGCACACACTGGTGACAGAAACGGGGGAAACCAGTGGAAGAGAGCTGCCCCTGGTGTCTTTCTATGGAACGTGACTCATGCCTCAACTCAAGGCTCCCCTAGTGCAGTCCCTGGCTCTGAGAGTGTGCTGCACTGGCCCACACTTAGAGTATTTGTGACAAAGGCTATAGAACTCCATGCTTATACAGTCAGGGTTTAGAGCTGGGGTCTGAATGAGTATTAAACTTTAGAAAAATGCTCCCAAAACTCCATGTACCATATGTGGATTTAAGGGGAATGAGGTGATCTGTAATTCAAGAGTGACCTCTACCCCCAGAGGTCACAAACTATCAGTTCATCTGACCTTCAAACAGGTTTTGTTGTCATGCGGTTTTTCAGAAATTATCGAAAATTTCGATATGTAAAGAGTGGAGCCCTAAAAACACTGGATAGTCTGGAAACACTAGGCCTTTATCCTCTGCAAGACACAGATCTGGAGCTGGCCCCTTTCCTTCCTTCCTTTTAGTGAGCACCGGCGTTTACAGTAAGTTTGAAGTTGAATGAAATATAGTGTAAACACAGGGCCTGTTGGTTCCCACATGCATTTGTGTGCTCAGGTTCTCCTTGCATTAGACTTGGCCAAAGGCCTAGATAAGATCTGGGACTTGGATTAAGTTCTGCATTCTCCAAGTCATCTCGCTTTTCAAATAACATGAGTGTGGTCGTCTGTCGGAACTGTCAAACAACTTGTCTTCTGAATGGGCTGTTCTTCTGCATTTCATTCAGAAGCTGGAGTGTGAGCTGGAGTGTGGACACAGCCGTTAACAAGTGCTGTGTCTCCGCTTCAGACCGGCTTTTCTCTGCTTTGTGATGGTGGGTCAGGACTCCCCAAACTAGTTCTGCCTTGTCAGCTGTTTGCCATTAGGCTCTGCCAAATGTGAGCACCAGGAGGACAGGAGAGGGGGCAAGAGTCCTCTTCCTCCACTTTGAATAGCACTTCTCCCTGCTAGCAGCAATTGGGGAGTTTCCAACCCCTCTCCGACCTCACAGAAACCTCTCATGGTGTCCAACAGAGGTACAGTGCCTACCCTCGAGGTCTGAGGCCAGTGCTCTGGGGCCTCTCCTCGAGCTTCTAGGCTCTGATAACCCCAGACTCTTTCGTTTGTCCCCAAAGCCCTAGGGATGGTGGTAGCTGCTTTCTGAATATCACCATCTCTGAGATCTCAGGGTCTCCTTTTCGTTTTTTTCAGTCCTCCAACACCTGTTTAATCAGTTCTCTAAGCTCAAACTTGAGCTCTCATCAGAATCACCTGAAGAGCTTGTTAAAACACAGATGGCGGGCCCCACCTTCAGAGTCTTTGATTCAGAAGGTCTGGGGTGGGGCTGAGAATCTGCTTTCCTGACAAGTTCCCTGATGATGCAGATGCTGCACTTCTGGGGACCCTGCTTTAAGAATCACTGCCATACATTATACTCCCTCTTTTTAAATAGTGTGTTTTGTTTTCTAGCTGGACTTTGGTTGATTCAATGGCCATCACTAAAATAGCAAACCACTGCACCCACCAGATTGCTTTTGGATGTTTGGTGGGGGGAAGTAATCCCATCTCCCACTTCTAACTTTGGCCTTCACATGCGATTGAATCACCCTTTTGTCCATCTACACCTTGTACCTGTGCTCTTGCCCTTCTGCCCAGGTTGCAAAGCCGTTGGCCTTCCTTTATGGTACTCCATCCCGTCTGTGTCCTCATTTCTCCAGCCTGTACCATCTAAGTGCCCAAGTTAATGTCTTCTTCCTGGGCTTGCTTTTTCACGTCAACAAATTCATATTGAATGGTGTACTGTGTGCAGAGCTTCGTGCCGGATATTTTTGCCAGAGATACAAAGATGAGAAAGACTTAGATTCTGTTCTCATAGGGTAATTATTATCTGTACAATTTAGAACTGTATTATAGGCTTGGGATAGATATGGAGAAGATATTACCAGAACCCCTGCTAGAGAGAGACTTGCTTTGGTTGGGTGAATAATTTGATTAGCAAGGTGTGGATGGGGAAAGACCTTAAGAAGTGTGCTCGAATGCGTAGAGGCTATACTGCCTTGTAAGGCAAGTGAGCACCTGTTAACTGTAGGGCTTTGTTCTATAGAGAGGGATCTATGGAAGTTCATGGCTGGAGTGGCATTGCGTGGGAGAAGGTGAATAGTGTCAACAGAAAGAAGAGGCCTTTGCCTGGTGGCTGTAGCCCAAGGGCAACTTCTGGGGAGAAGAAACAGCCAGTAGGGATTTTCATGGCTTTGTTTGCTAGCGTGAGTTGTAATCTCTCTCCATCTCTCCATGAAATTACCAATGGTTTACTTACTTCCTAAGAATATGACACAGTGTTTAATCTGTTTGCAAGTTTGGAATGGGGTGAAATTGGAGACCACCCGTAGAAGAAAGGCTACATATGAGTTACATGTTTAAATTTTGTCTTTCTCCTCCTTGCAAATATGAGGGTACTTCAAAAAGTTCGTAGAAAGATTCATGTTATCTTTTAATTTTATTTTTCCACAAACTTTTTCAAGTATATTGTATATTTTAAGCACCCCGTGACACTGGATTTTATATTCTTTTTCATCAGCCTTGGTTATTAAGTAGAATGTGTCTATCAGTGAACTAATTTCTGGGTTTAGAGTTTATCCTTGTCCAGGTACATCTAACATTTGGTTACACAAAGTACTTACAGGCCTGAATATGGCAATTTATATGTGGGTAAAACACTGGGTTTTTACTTTTTTACAGTATTTATTTAGTTTTCTAATTAAGAATAGATAAAGGCACATTATTGAACATTTAGATATATTTTTAAGCGTTGGCAAAAATAAACATCACTCGTAGTTTCACTGATCAGAGATAACCACAACCAACAAACTGGAGTATCTATTTATCATCTGTCTCCTTCACATATACATATATTTAGCCTCCATGTCCATAAATATATGTATAGAGAATATATATATGATATATGTAATATTTTTGTATATATGTCTATGTTTATATATATGGATAATCAAATTGGCTTCATAATGTTTATAAAATCTTACTGCTTTTTCACTTAATGTTTTGATATAAGCATTCTCTTGATTATATCTTCAACAATATAATGTACTGTCAGCATCATAGTCATTTGTATAGACTATCATAATTTATTGAATTCTCTATTGTTGAATAATTATATTTCCCCACTTTTTTCTATTACATATAGTTCTACAATGAACATCCACATATATATATGATTTGTACTGTAAATTTATATTTAGGTACATTGTCTCTTGACACACTGAAAAGCACATTTGTCTTCAGAGGTAGAATTTTGTACTTACCTGAAATGAAGCTCAAGAGATACAACCCTAGTGGACCATGCAGAGTTTCAAAGGGTTTGCCAAAAGCATTGTACATGAAGAAGGCTGTGCCCACCATGGTTAAAAGAATAAGGATTGTGGAGAAGAGAATGACATTGACGTGGATACTCCCTGGGATCGCTTTGAGCAAATCTGGGAAAACTGAAGATAAAACAAAACAAGGATTAGGAGAAATTTCATTAGCAGTAGTCTGCAAGTATAATTTAAAAAATTAAATCTCTCTTCTACTTTTAATTTTAAAAACCACAAAGTCTTTCTGATGAATACATTCTCACTTACTAACTTATATGGCGTTTATGAAGATGTTTAAAGATAGAATCATTTTATAGAATTTACCAGTAAAAACTAGCAAAGGGGGGATTTGAGGGAATTTTTTTTCTGCCTTTGGTTATATGTAATTACTTAAAGAAGCAAGTGTTGGCTTTATAACCCAAAACTGTACATTTTGATGACTAAACTTTAATGACATTTCTCAGTAATCATTGAAAGAAAGTGAGCCAAGATGCTGGGTACCGTTCAAGCTTTATTAAAGAAAGAAATCTGCCAGGCTGTGCTCAAAATGGAGGATGGCCCAGGGCTGCCCTGAAAATGGGGGACAGCCACTAACATAGGGTGGTAGGAGCTTATATTGGTATGTTGGCACCAAGAGCTGGGTGATGTAATTCCGGGGTGGGGATTGAGTTAGGTCATGGGAATGGAGAGTTCTGTGCGTGCGGAAACACCAAAAGTTTCATTTTCTCCGAAACCATGAGGCTTCTTGTAAGAGAGAGCGGGGGAGGGGAGGGGAGGAGGTGGATGGTGCCATTTTGTACTTGGGCTTGTCTAAAAGAGCACTGGTTATGTGGCAGATCTATTAATCATTGTTTTAAATATCTTGTAATGATATTTTAAGTTTGGGGCTATCTGGGGAAATTCAGACATCAGGGGGTTTTTATAATTTTTTTTTTGTTGCAAAAACAAAAATGGTTTCTAGCCCACACCAAGATTAGAGAATAGGGTATTTTAAATCAACTTCAATATTTTGATGTAGCACAAAGCTGTGGGAAAATAATTTCTGGTGCTACAAGAAATATTTTCAATCTAGAAAACACACCAAATCTATTTCTAGATTTTGTGTTTGGGGCAAATTTTTCTTGTTTGCAGAAAAAATGAAATGCTGTATAAATGTGGGATTTCTCTTTATCTGGTGAGGCATCAGCATGCTTACCTTCAGAAAACCTGGCAGGACCAATCTGGGGAAGTTCAGTTTAGTCCATTTTAGTTTCCCAAATATTTATCAAGTGCTTAATTTGTTTACTGAGCACCTATCATGTGCCAGGCATTGTTCTAGGTGTTGTAAGTAGAGCCCTAAAGTGAAATAAACAAGATCCCTGTTGTCTCATGGAGCTTATAACTTAATGGGAGTAGGCAGACAATTAGCAAGTAAATAAATAAGTGTGATAGCTTATCTCAAGAGATGGTCACTATCAATGTCTTACCTCTTTACACACATGTCACTTCCCCTTCCCCTTTAAGAAATTTTTCCTCAATCTCCTTGAACTTGGACTGGCCTGTGATTGCTGTGACCTGAATATGGTAGCAGGAGTATATTGTGCCATTTCCAGGCCTCACCTATAAGAGGACTAGCAGATTCTGTTTCTTTGCTCGTGAAGGCTTGAGCTGCCAAGCAAGAAGCTCAGGCTACTCTGCTGGAGAGGGAGGTCACCTGGAGGGGCAGAAGCTCCAGACACGTGAGGGAAGGAGCTGTCCTGGACATCCAGCTCAGAAAAGCCTCCAGATGATTCTAACCCAATTACTATAACCTGAGTAATGGAATAAACGGTGATGCTGTTAACTGAGGTGACAAGGAGAAGGAACAGGTTTGGGCACCAGGGTGAGAAGTGGTGCAAGAATTCTATTTCAGATATTTTAAGTTTGAGTTGCCTTTAAGGCCTCCACGTAAAGAGGTCAAATAGGATGTACATGTCTGGAGGTCCAGGGAGAAGACAGGGGTGTTCAATAGGGCCGGGACCAGGGTAAAGCAAGCAGGGTGCCTAGAGTGTAAAATGTAAGGAGACAGTCACTTTCTAGGGCCAACCCTGTACTTGCATGAGCCCGAATGTCTCCTTAACTTTTACATGCTAGGTGCCTCAAGGCATCACCCTAGCTCTGGCCCTGGTATTTAAAGCCATTGGAATGGATGTTACCCACGGAGAAGCTGTAGTTAGAGGAGAGAAGGGGCAGGAAGGAGCTCCAGGGCACCCCACGACTACCAGCACAGAAGAGGGGAAAAGCTGGCTGGGGAGCCAAAAGAACAGCTTGTGAGTTAAGAGCAAATCCATTGGTGGGACAGCAGGGAAGTCAACAAGAAAGAAAACGTTTCAAGGAGGAGGACATGGTCGGCTGTGCAAACTCATGTCCCATGGCCACAACGCTCCCCTCCTGACCACGTGTGAGGAGACCAGGTGAAGGAGATGGATTGGTTCAGTACAAACCCTTCACTGCTCTGGATATAACTCACTACACGTGAGAATATGCTTAGTGCTATCAGATAGGCAGCACCCGCCTCATAAACACAGAGGGGCTTGTTTGGATCCTGATGGTGTTCACCGCAGTGTCCCCACTCAGATGGCAAGGCTAGGTCATTTGACTGCTGAGGTCTGGTTGCACTACTTCTCCTTTATCTTCTCATAATACTAGAAATGCACATTAAAACTATAAGAAGCCATTTACCACAAATCATGCTTACAAAGATCAAAACATTTAGCAATATTCTGTGTTAGCTAGGATCTAGGGAAATGGGACCCTTGTGCATTTTTCTTGGGAGTGTAAATTGGTATAACCTCCTTCAAAGCAGTTAGGCAATATCTATCTATCTATCTTCAAGCATTAAAATGTACATACCCTTTAGCTCAGTGACTTCCCTTCCAAAGGTTATTTTATGGATATTTTTGCACATGAATCCAACAAAGTATTACAAGGATAGTCATTGCAGCATTTTTTTTTTGTTGGTAATAACAAAAGGTTGGAAATAATTTCCACGTCTAGCAGTAGTGCATCCATAGAATGGAATATTAGTCAATGATTACAAACAATAAAGCAAATCTATAAGAACAGGGTATGGAATTATCAAAATGTGATATTAGATGAGAAAACAAACCAAACAATAAGTGTGCATCATTCTGCCATTTGGTGAGAAGCCAAAGGTGGATGCATATAACAACAAATAATTATTTAAGCACTTTACTGATTTAATTCTCTTGACAACCCCACGAGATAGGTACTATTTTTAAAAGCTGAAACACAGGCTATGCCGTGCACAAGATGTATACTTAGTAAGTGGCAGAATAGGATTTGAACTCTTTCTTCACTCTGAACCATCATGCCACAGCAACTTCAGGGACTGGCATGCGTGTCTAGGCAGGTACTATTTCTAGAAGGCTACGCACAAAACTGGTAACATTGCTTCTGGGGAGGAGAAGTGAGGAACATTTCACTATGTACCTTTTTGTACTCTTTGGAAAAGAAATTGTTTTTTATCGTCCTGCAAGCATTATCTATTCAATGAACACACGAGTACTTTTTTAATAATTAAAAGGATAAACAAATGCATAAAAAATTCCTGTGACTGCTATAAATTAAAAGAAACTTAAGAGACACCAAATTCAATGTGTGGATATTGTTTGTGGATATGGTTTGTGATTTAAACAAAATATTTATAAAAACAATTTTGAGGTAAACAAGGAGAATTGAATATAGACTGGGAATTGGTTGAAATTTCATAATTGTTATTCATTTTATTGGCTATGTTCATGGTATTGTGGTTGTGTTTTTAAAAGTCCTTATAGGGCCCGCCCGGTGGCACACTGCTACAGTGCGCCGCTTGTGAGCGCAGTGGCGCTCCCGCCGAGGGTTCGGATCCCACATACAGACCGGTTCCCACTCACTGGCTGAGCGAGGTGCGGGCGCAGCACCGAGGTTTGCGATCCCGTTGCCGGTCCCGGTCCGGTATGGGCGTGACACTGA